GGGAAAGAGAAAAATATAATTGGGAGGAACATAATGGAGCATCAATAATATTAATAGTGTCCTATTTCTTAATATTCACATGGATATTTACATTATTGTTATTTTCAAATAGTTCATATGTATTATGTACAATTCATTTCAAAATAAAAATTTTTTTTTAATAAGAAAGAAAAGAAATGGGGAAAAAGAGCACTGGTGTAAAGGAAGCATTTAAAGGGAAAAAAACATTAAGTGAAGAATTTTATGACCAATGTGGGGAAAAGTTCTTGCTCTCATATTGTGCACAGTAAATTTTAGTTATTCTGAGGCACAAAGTGGTTCATTCACTGAAAAACTTGCACTTCTAGTCGTTGCTGGAATCTGTTATTAAACATTGAGCACGTTTTAGTGAACAGGCAGATTTTTCCTGTCCTCAGGAGTTTATAGTGGAGGTCAGTGTTTCTCCAACTGTGATCCTGGGATCAACAGTATCAGTTTCACCTGGGAAACCTGTTACAAATTGCAGACCCACCCTAGGCATATTGAATCAGAAATGCTGCAGGTGGGGCCCAGCAAGCTATGGCCCTCTAGACAATTCCATTGCACACTGAAGATTGAGACCCACTAGTGTAGATTAGTAATTTGCCAAATTCAGCTAACATTTGTTGAGCAATTGCCATAAACTGGGCCCTCTGCGAAGTATTTTCGCATAATTTATCCCATTTAACACGTCAGCATAGGAAAGTAGGTATCCTCTGTCTTGCTTAATGTTGCACTCCTAGTAAGTAGTAGAGTTTAAATTCATAGTTTCTTGAGAATAGAGGCTGATATGTTGCATTTTATTGGTTTCTGTATCCCCGCTCTGGTTCTCAATCTTGGCTGTGCATTAGAATCACCTGCAGTGCTTTTTAAACTGGCCATACCAAAATAAATAAATAAATAAAAATAAAATGGCCATACCAGCTATTAGGCCAATAAAATTAGAATCCCTAAGGCTGAGGGGCCTGAGAGAGAGAGAGAGAGAGAGAGAGAGAGAGAGAGTGTGTGTGTGCGTGTGTGTGTGTATAAAGTATTTGTATAATATATAATATTTGTATAATATATAAATTCATGTAATATGTAAAATGTCATTACACATCATCTAATCATATACACAGTCCTATTTTAGGGAGCCAGTAGCTTTAAAAGTTTTCCAGGTGATTCCAACATGCACTTAATTGATTCCAATATGCAGGGTTAATTGAAAGCCACTGGTATAGCACAATGGCTTACATGTAGCTAGCACTCAATAAATGTTTGAATAGTGAATGAATGGATATTTAGATACTCTTTTTACTGATGAGGTCAAGTAACTGCCCAAGGTCATACAGCTAATAAATGATAGAACAAGAATCCAAGTCCAGTTCTGACTCTAAATTCCAAGTGCTTTCTATGACTACATCAAACACCAAGGCAAACAGCATTTAGCATGCTATCAGAGTAGCTATTCCAGGGACCTCTGTAGCCTTCAATAATTACAGAACCATAATATTATGTTTTTTAAAAGAAAGGGATCTCTTAACATAGGGCATATTCATGTAATGGAAACCTAAAAATAACTAAATATTTTATTATTAACATGGGTTGGCATGTTTATGCACACCTATCTCTACCCACCTTTCCATGACCAACTATGTGTTGTAAGAGGTAATTTATTTCACCAAACATTGAGCACCTGTTACATCAGTCATTGCTCTGGGGGCTGTTGATTGGCTTTTACACACAGTCCTTGCCTTCAAGTTTCTCACAATCTAGGAGGGAGACAGGCATATAAACAAACCGTAATATTGGCTGAAAACTACAATAATAGAAATACGAACAAGATACATATTTTGCCCAGAGGAAGGAAGGATTAATTCTATAGGTAGGGAGTGAGGAGATGGGCAGGAAAAGCTTTATGGAACAGGCAACACTTCAGCTGGAGCAGGCTGAACAGAGTTCCTCTACATTGCACCCAGCACTGCAGTGGGATATGGATCTCCACTTTGATTAATAGGTTAATTCATACAGCAAAGGGGTACTCTTTTCTGGGGATCTTGCAATCTTGTGGGACAAACCCAGCCATTCCTTGCTCAGGAATTGAAGCCCCTGCTGCTGCCACTTTGGAATAAGCTTTGGAGGAGAGCAGTTGGGATCAGTCCGTGACCCCATCAGGGAAGGCACAGTCCCTGAAAGGATGTACATTAGTTATAGAGCCCACAGAGCTAGTACTCTGAGTCCCGAGTAAAAAGCCCATGCAGGAGAATGGGAGACAGGGGAGGGCAGAAGTTTTCACTATAATTAGCTCTGGAAGTAATACAGCTTGGGGAGGGAGGGGAGTACAGCCGGTAACTATTTTGAGCACAGCTTCGATTGACAGGACATGTGTGCTGGACTGTACTGATCTCAGGGCCAAGTTGCCTGCCTGTGGTGTGTGGTGTGGGGTGGAAGGCCTAGGGCAGCAGAAGCAGGACAGCCAGACAGGCCGGACGGGGTACCAGCACCTCGACTTCTCTCCCTGGGACACTGTCCAAACTCCGAAGGCCATAGGCCAAGCTGAGAGATGGGTGCTGAGGAGGAGGTGCTGGTCACACTGTCTGGGGGAGCCCCCTGGGGCTTCCGACTTCAGGGGGGGGCCGAGCAGAGGAAACCTTTACAGGTATCCAAGGTAAGGGAGCCTATATTGAGGTTTCAGGGAAAGGGGAACCCAAGGGAACTTGGGAAGAGTCATGTGGTGGCCTGTGGGGGGAGAAGTGGGAGGCTGTGAAGAAATGGAGTGGGGGTGGGTAGATGGTCGAGGAAGCATGCTCAGATCTGATGGGGGGAGCAGTGTCTGAGCACAGCCTTCTTGTGGGGCGCTATTAGAAAAGGGAATTCCTGGTTTCTGGGAGCAGAGAAAAAGGAAGACTGTGCCTCAATTTCATAGAAGCAGAGGTCCAGGGCTGGCAACATAGGAGCAGAGGCTCAGGGCTGGCCATCCAGTCTTTGCTCTCCTGGGTCTGTGCCTCTACTCCAAACTCCAGGAATGTAGGGAAGGTTGTCATTTCTCTCTAACTAAATTGGTATGTGATGATCTGAGGCTCTCACCCAGCCCAGCCCAGCCCAGCCCAGCCCAGCCCTGCCCTGCCCCTGCCCCAGCCTTCAGTCCTCCTCTTTCGCTACGCCAGATCCCTTCTCTCACTAGGCAAGACTTTTTTAAGGCTAGGAGGGTTATGGCAAGATATGACCTGTCAGATCAAGTCGTTACCATTTTGGTTTCATAGCACAGGTTTAATTTTCTCAACTATAAAATGTAGGTAATGATAGTACCTACTCCATAGGTACTAACTTCTAAGGATTAAATTCAGTAAAACATGTAGAGTGCTTGGCACTGTGCCTAACATTTAGTAAGCACTAAATGTATAGCCACTATTACTATTATTACTTTAACATATGTACCTGTGTGTGCACACCTGGCACACACATACATACACAATCGTAATCCCTCAGAATCTGCTGGACTCCCTCCAATCTGGAGTACTGTTCTAAAATCTTGACTGTGTACATAATGGTGCCTAGGACTCCAAGGACTAGAAGAGAACTGTTGGCTAGTATAGATATTTCCTTTGGAGGAAAATCTTGAGGGGATAACCACCGTTTCTACAATAGTAGAAATGTCCTGTTCCCCCTTGCAGTTTTCCCCGTCTTTTTCATTCAGTGATTACCCTACCTCCCTTTAAAGGATGTGTTATTCTCTCAAATCTGTACCTTCTTCCCTCTAGATTGACCCCCCTTAACTGTCACCCCTTGTCCCTCCCCATCCTTTCTTACCCTGTAAAGTAAAATCCCATCCACACACTGGTCCCTCCTGTCCTAACTCCTTTCATTCTATTCCCCCCTTGGAGTCCTCCCTCACCTACAGTCTCTCCTCCAACACCTTCTCAGATCCGAAGACGGAGCCAGGCTGGCAGAGCAGGACTCAGGGAAAGGGATCAGCTTTTGGCCGTCAATGGGGTTTCCTGCACCAGCCTCTCTCATGCCAGAGCCATGAGCCTCATCGATGACTCAGGGAATCAGCTTGTCCTCACCGTGCGGCGGTATGGACCCCTCCCACCCCAGCCTACACCCATCCCCCTAGTCCAGGGCTTCCATTGCCTGTCTCAGCTCTATGTCTCACTGGCCTGACTTCAGCTACTGACAAGTACCCATTTCTGCTTGTGTATCTGTGCTGGAGTATAGGTGTTTGTGTATGCATCCCAAAGCACTTGAATGTGGGTGCGTGGGCCTATTTAGGCCCCTTGCCTGTCTATTTATCATCACATTTCTCTTTAAACCCACTTCCAGTCAAAGCCTGCCAAGCAGATTTGCCTACCAGTTCATTTTCAGATCTCTACTCTTCCCAGCCCATCCATTTCACCTACATGCCAGTCCCCTCTCTCCCCTTACATCCTTCTCCCATCTCCAGATCTCTCTAGCTCTCAGTCATTCAGCTCATTTCTCAAGTTCTGTCATCTTTTCCATCCAGGGTAGAGGACGAGGGGCCTGTGCGATCTTCATCCCCTGGTGAGCTTCAGGCACTGTCACCCTTGTCTCCGCTGAGTCCTGAGCCCCCTGGTGCTCCAGTTCCCCAGCCTCTCCAGCCTGGGAGCCTCCTCTCTCCCCCTGACAGTGAGGCTTACTATGGAGAGACAGACAGTGATGCTGATGGCCCAGCCACCCAGGAAAAGCCCCGCCGACCCCGCCGCCGAGGCCCAACAAGGCCCACCCCTCCAGGAGCCCCACCTGATGAGGTCTACCTGTCTGACAGCCCCGCAGAGCCAGCACCTGGTGTCCTTGGCCCTCCCAGCCAGGATGACAGCCGTGTGAGCTCCCCATCTTGGGAGGACGGGACAACCCTTCAGCCACCCCCGGCTGAGGCCCTGCTGTTGCCCCATGGCCCCCTCCGGCCTGGCCCTCATCTCATCCCTATGGTGGGGCCTGTTCCCCACCCAGTGGCAGAAGATCTGACTACCACCTATACTCAGAAGGCCAAACAAGCCAGTGAGTGCCTGAACTCCTTTTCCTTAGTCGGGATCCTTCAATCTGAGCCCTAAATCTAACCCTCCATAACCAGACATTCCACCTAGCTTATGCTTCCCTTGGATACAGTCTTGGGGACAGGTCGAGAAGAGTAATGGATAGGAGGGGAAAATAATTATTCTCACGATCCCCATTAGTTTTGCTGTTTGAACTAGCGTGACAAAAAAGTACAGGAGGCTCAACCCAACCCAGGAACAGGATAAGTAGGGAAGTTGGAAAGGGACATGAATTGACGAAGGGTTTGCTTGTCGTTGCTATGATTTTGCTAGGTGTCAGACGGGGTGAGGGCAGAGTGCAGACATGGGTCAGGGGAGTATTTGGAAGCAGGACAGGGATACAGGGACTCTTCAGTGTTAATTGCAGGCATAGCATCAGAGCTACCTTTGACATTGCTAGTTCCATTAGGATTCCTGGGGACTGGGAGGCTGTGGAATAGTCATGAGATCTCTAGGAAGTGGTGGTGGGAGGGATCTTTGGCTTCTTATCTTAGGCGAGAATGTAGGCCCCGGCAGAAAAAGCCAGTTCCACTTATCTCAGGCTCTTTACTCCCCCCCGGTACGCGGGCCTCTCTCTCACTGTTGTGGCCTCTCCCGTTGCGGAGCACAGGCTCCAGACGCTCAGGCTCAGCGGCCAGGGCTCACGGGCCCAGCTGCTCCGCGGCATGTGGGATCTTCCTAGACCGGGGCACGAACCCCTGTTCCCTGCATCAGCAGGTGGACTGTCAACCACTGCACCACCAGGGAAGCCCTCTTTACTATTTTTGATGTGAGCTACAGAACAAAGTCTAAGAGTGAACTTTCTCCCTGTCCTATGCCTCCCATAACCCTCCTCTAGAGACCTTTCTTGTCACCTTGGAAATCTCAGGGTTACCCCTCTAGTTCTCATCTCTCGTTCCTCCCCTCCACCATTCTGATTCCTGATCCATAGAATTTTGTGCCTCTAAGTCTGGAATAGAGGCTAAGGACGTGACAGTTTACCATCTGACATCCCTGAGAGTGTCCCATGTCCCACAAAGAAATTCCAGATGCACACCCACAATCTCATGCTTATCCCCAATTCTCATTTTAGCACCCTTGCCCTTCCCCATCATGCTGGGTGAGACTGTAGTTAGTGAGTGGCTCAGGGATATTTTTAGCCAAGCAGACCTCATTGTCCAGTGTGGTGGGATAGGGGGAAGGGTAGGCAGGTGCCCATGTCCATCATACCAGGGCTTGTGGGGCAGCCCAGAGAAGAGAGGGGGCCAGGCTCCAAAAATAGCACAGTGAGCTCATTCAGCTACCAGCTCTGGGGATAAGACAAAGGGGCTTTAAAAGGCGTGGGGGGTGCCTCAAACTGGTTCTGCTCCAGCCAACACTGCCTTTCTCGGCATGGAGACTTTTGAGCCCATCAGCCAAGAGCCTCTCAGCCAAGCCAGTTGCGACAAAGCCCCAAGCCCAGTTCCTGAGCTCCAGGACCCGTTCTATGCAGGTACTACCCTCCCACAGCCAAGAGAGTTCTGGAATCTAGAATGGAGGGGACTACATCAACAGTTTGGGAAGGGAGGTCTTTGGGAAAGGTCTTACTCCCTTACCCCCTCCTCCTTTTTTCCTTCCTCTTCCTTCTTTTCTTAGGAGTTTCACTGCCCTTTTCTCAGAATGGGCTGATGCTATGGTCACATGTCAAAGGGGTTTGTGACCACATGAGCTATGGAAAACTCATGGAGAGAGGGTGTATGTGTGAGAGAGAAGTGTGAGTAATCTATGAATACATGAAAGCATGTATGTGGGAGTCCGTGGGAGAAGATATGAGTGAACAAGAAAGTGTCTGGATACATGTGCAGCTAGTGTCAAGAAAGCTTTGACAGTAATAGTTACTCACAGTGGGGCTTAGGTTAAATGCTAAATTTACCTACATTATCTCACTTAAACCTCATAGCAACCCTATGAGGTAGACGTTATGTTATCATCCTTCTTTACAGATGAGGAAACTGAACTTCAGTGAGATGAAGTAACTCTCCCAAGAACCAAAAATCTGAACTAAACTATGACTCCAGTGCCTATCTCTAGTCCACAGTACTATTGTGTGGTATGAATGTTGGAACGGGTGGAATGAGAGCCCTAATCAGAAGGGAGCTTTGATATCTTGAGTGGAAAGTAGATGGAATTTCAAGAATTTTTCAGGAGGAACTGGGGATCATGGACCGGAGAGTATCTGTGTCCGAGTCAGAGTCCTAGCAGCAGGGCAGGGTTCCCATTTCCTAGCTCCACCTCCCAGGCCCCACATGGCATGGGAAACCCTGTCCTGGCTCCCCTTAGCACACAGTGCTTGCGTGCCTGCCTGGTAGTGTCTACCTGAGCTCTCTACCCAGAAGGCTTGGAAAATAGGGGGCAGCTCTGTCAAAGAAGCCCACCCCACTCCCACCCTCAGCTTGGAGGAAAGGAGACTGTATCAACTGGTGACTTTGAGATATCCTAAAGATCTGGAAGCTTTCCTTGGAGAGCAGCACTCTGGCTTTTCCTGCATCTCAGATCTGAAGCCATCCCTGCCTGTGAGTAGCAGGGGTTTGAGGCACAGAGGAGCACCTTGGATTTAGAAGGCACTTAAATTTTGTCCCAACTGTTAGTGATAGTGTCTCTGCTAGAGGAATTCTGGGAAGGGCCACCTTGAGTATGCATGTATGTTTTTGTGTGGACACGTGTATTTATACATGTGTATATGAACTAGGATGTATATAAGCTAGAGTATATGGGGATGTGAGAGAAAAGTACAGATGAGAAAATATGCTCATAGCCACCTCTCCCTAGAGCCATATTCTTGTTGAAGTGATGTGTGGTGGGAGTTATTTCTATGAATGTATATGACGTGGATCACATGATGATAGTGGAATTATGAATGAAGATCCTCATTGCTAAGGATCCTTTGTGTCCTTATTATAGGGTAAGGGGTAGGAAGAGCGGATAAGTCCCAAACTTTCTGAGAAGTCCCCTAACAGGGTCACTTTGGTGGGAGAAAAGTGCCCCCTCTTATTTTTTCTTACCCTGGGACCTGCTTCCTGTCCTTGCCTGCCATGGGAAGTAAACCCCCTTCTACCCCAGCCTCACATTGCCAGCCAGGAATGGAGGGAAGCAGGGGAGGCATGCGTGTGGTGTGGGTACGAGCAATCTCCTGAAAGATAGGAGGGAAGAGAGGATAGAAGGAGAGTGTGGTCAGAGTGGTGTCAGGGCAGCCAACTACCCTCTGCCTTCCCTTCAACTGTCCTTGGTTTCACCTTTCACCTCCACTCTGGCCCCAAGTTAGAGGACTTTGCCAAAGGCAGGAGAGACCTTGTGGGTCAGGCCAGTGAGAAGACCAGAGGTGGGAGGCCTGAGGGAGCTGGCTGGGGCGGGGGCGGGGGGCGGGTGAGAGCCTTGGGGAACAGAAGATGCTCACTGACCATTCCCTCCTCCTCTCCTCAGAACTGCAAAGGGCAGAGAGCCTCCAAGAGAGAAGTGTGAAGGAGGCCAAGACCAAATGCCGGACGATTGCATCCCTGCTAACTGCAGCCCCCAACCCCCACTCGAAGGGGGTACTGATGTTTAAGAAACGTCGGCAGAGAGCCAAGAAGTACACCCTAGTGAGCTTTGGGGCTGCCGCAGGGACAGGCCCTGGGGAGCAGGACGGCGTCCCTCCGACTAGTGAGTCCGAGCTGGACGAAGAGGCCTTCTCCGACGCCCGCAGCCTCACCAACCAGTCTGACTGGGACAGCCCCTACCTGGACATGGAGCTAGCCAGGCCGAGCTCAGGCGCAGCAGAGGGCCAGGGCCCGGGGCTGGGAGGGCAGCTGAGTGAGGCCTCTGGGCGAGGGGCCCAACTCTTTGAACAGCAGCGCCAGCGCGCAGACTCCAGCACTCAGGAGCCGGCCGGGGATGGTCCAGCCGCCACGCTCAACGGGCAGGGCCTGCAGTCACCACCTCGGGCACAAAGCGCTCCGCCAGAGGCGGCTGTGCTCCCATCCAGCCCTTCGCCGGCCCCTGCAGCCAGCCCCAGACCTTTCCTCCCTAGCAGTGGAGCCTCTACCCCAGCTCCAAGCATCTTTAACCGGTCAGCCAGGCCGTTTACTCCGGGCTTACAAGGGCAGCGGCCAGGTACCACCTCGGTTATTTTCCGGCCCCTGGCTCCCAAGAGGGCAAACGAGAGCCTGGGAGGCCTCAGCGCCGTCCCACCGCCTTTCCTGTCCTCTCCGCAGGGGACCACTCCTCTGCCCAGCTTCTCTTCAGGGGTTCCCAGCCACGTGTCAACCCCCGGTTCCCCCAGCACCCCACGCTCCTCCGGCCCCGTGACGGCCACCAGCTCCCTATACATCCCAGCCCCCAATCGTCCTGTTACGCCAGGCGGAGCCCCAGAGCCCCCCGCCCCCGCTAGCGGAGCTGCAATGACCTCCACCGCTTCTATCTTCCTATCGGCGCCTCTGCGACCTGCTGCACGCCCAGAGGCCCCCGCCCCTGGCCCCGCAGCCCCTGAGCCCTCCAGCGCTCGGGAGAAGCGCATCTCCGTGCCAGCTGCTCGCACCGGCATCCTCCAGGAGGCCCGGCGTCGGGGGACCCGAAAGCAGATGTTCCGGCCGGGAAATGAGGAGACGAAGAACTCGCCCAACCCGGAGCTGCTATCGTTGGTGCAGAACCTGGATGAAAAACCCCGGGCTGGGGGTGCGGAATCTTGTCCAGAGGAGGACGCCCTGAGCCTCGGGGCTGAAGCCTGCAACTTCATGCAGCCACCAGGGGGCAGGAGTTACAAGACTTTGCCTCACGTGACAGCTAAAACCCCGCCTCCAATGGCTCCCAAGACCCCACCCCCTACGACTCCTAAGACTCCACCCCCAGTGGCTCCCAAGCCCCCTTCTCGAGGGTTCCTCGATGGGTTAGTGAATGGGGCGGCCCCTTCAGCTGGAATCCCTGAACCACCAAGGCTTCAAGGCAGGGGTGGGGAGCTGTTTGCCAAGCGTCAGAGCCGAGCGGACAGGTATGTGGTGGAAGCACCTGGTCCTGGCCTTGGCCCTCGGCCCAGAAGCCCTTCTCCTACCCCCTCCCTGCCCCCTTCCTGGAAATATTCACCCAATATCCGTGCCCCACCTCCAATTGCTTACAACCCACTGCTCTCACCCTTTTTTCCCCAAGCTGCCCGAAATCTCCCTAGTAAGATCCAATCCCAAGGGCCTCGGGCAGCCCCCAAGCAGGGCATTAAGGCTTTGGATTTCATGCGGCACCAGCCCTACCAACTTAAAAGTGCCATGTTCTGTTTTGATGAGGTTCCCCCGACTCCTGGACCCACCTCCTCAGTGCCTCCCAAAACTGCCCGAGTCCAGGAGATCCGCCGATTTTCGACTCCAGTGCCCCAGCCCACTGCAGAGCCCCTGGCACCCACTGTGCTTGCCCCACGAGCAGCCACTACATTGGATGAGCCCATCTGGAGGGCAGAACTGGCCTCAGCCCTTGTCCTTAGCCCAGCCCCTCCTCCAGAGTCTCCCAGGAGTCTTGGGACCTCCCCCAGCTCCTGTGGCTTCCAGGTAGCCAGGCCCCGTTTCTCAGCTACTAGAACAGGATTGCAGGCTCATGTGTGGAGGCCTGGGGCGGGCCACCACTGAACAGGGCACAGCTCCCAGGACCAAGGGGAGGTGGAACAGCTAGTTCCTAAAGTTGCTTCTACCCAACCCGCCCGCCCCCGCCCCCACCCCCTCTCCTTTGCAGGCTAAATTCCCTCCTGCCAGAGAAAGTTTTGGAGTTGGTGTCCCATCTCCCAGCTTCCTCCTGACTCCTAACCTCCCTGCTGCTTTCCAACCTATAATACTATCTTTGCTTTGGTGTCTGCTTCTCTTTGTAGTTCCTTGCCTGGATCTCTGTCTTTAACTCTGTCTCTTCACCTACACTCCTCCACTGGTCTCCATTTCTCTACATTTGTGCTTTTTTCTGTGGGCTTTGTTTTAACAGTCAATGAGAAAGACAGAGAAGTTACCACTGAGACCTCAGGCAAGAAGCTCACCACCAGACAGGCAGCAAAGGGACTGAACTGACCCCTATTTGCACGAAATCATTTGCTGCTCCTCACTCTTCTTTCCCAAGCTTGTCTGGCATTTTCCTAGGTGTGTGTGTGCAAGTGTGTGCGTGCACACAGATGTGCTCTTCTGTCTGAGGCAAGAGTAAGAGGAGCCATCTAAATAAAGACCCAATCTGGGTCTTACCCTTGCACTAATGAAAGAAGAGTCAGTTATCCTCACATAGAATGTCTGGTGGGGAGAAAGAGACTCATTAGAGTTAAAGATCATCGTCTGTAGCAGGTGTAGAGCATCTGGTGAAATTCATAGAGTATGAGGAGACTCGAAGGACCAGGGCAGTTTGTATGGGTTGAGTTATACCAGCTAGACCAGGAGTAGAACTAAGAATTCTGTTCCTTAGGATTTCAGAAAGTTAGCAACTGGAGAGGCCCATGCTGAGCAACAAAGCATCCAAGAACTGAAAAGAAAGAAAGAAAATGTCCTCTGAGAATGAACAAATCATTGGCTTCATTGTCTCATGAACTTAAGACAGAAAGGAGAAAAGAACCATGATGTGGAAAGGGAGGTAGAAACCAGGAGCAGAACAGAAATGAATGAAATTGATCGAGCCTCAGAGAGAAGCATGGTGAGGGAGAATACAGTGTTGGTAGAGAGTAAAATTGGATAATAAGAAACCAATCATGTACACAAAAGGGGAATTGGGGAGAAATTTGAGCGAGAAGAACGTATTTGTTAGAGTGAAGGGGGATGTTGGGGATGCGAGAGTGTGTGCTGAGTGTTGAAAGACAGGTATCTGTGCTACCTCCTTTGAATCTGTCCCTCTGTCTTCTGCAGCTTGTCATAACTACCTGAGAAAGGGCAGGGAAACACCCAGAGCCAAAACCTCTTTTTAGTTCTACCCCATCCCTCAAACCCTAGTTCTTATTTCTTTCCAGCTTCAGGTCCTGATCTCTGATCCTAGAGGGATATGGACTCCCCTCTCACCATGACCACCACCAGTCACGCTTGCTGCTTGATCTGGAAATTGATCATTTCCTTTGCATATTGAGTGTGAGTCACAGTACTTTGGTTTGTGCACAAGAATAAACTTATGCCCCATATCTCCTGTTGTTGTCATCTCTTCTAGTGTTATACCTAAATCCTGGTCTCCCCTTCATCTTCTCTAATTCATTCCCCTGATCTCCTGATTCCTGATCTCTTTCTCAGTTCCTACCCTCCTATTTTTTACTGTTTTGCCCTTCACCCCCTGGTCTTTTGCTCTTCTCTACCAATTCTGTCCTAATTCAGTATAGCCACCTCCATCACTCCCCCAGTTCTCTCTCTCCAGATTCTCCCCTTCTCCATCCCCTGCTCCATACTTCTCGGATGAGGCCTCAGCTTACAGAACCTAGACAATTTGGAAGGGCCCTGCTTTCCCAACACCCGGAGGAAATGAAGGGAAAGCAATGGCTGAAGTTGAAGGTGGGGTGAGAGAGGGAAGAAGGAGAGAGAGGGTGGATCAGCATGGATTGAGACTAATAAAAAAGAGAAGGCACTGAAAGGTGGCTAGAATTAGACTTCTGAGAAAGGGAAGTTCTGTTGCCCCAGTTCTACCAGCAGGGGGCAGATTTGTGCCAATAACCAGGCCCATGACCCTGATTCTCCCAAATATGCAGCCTCTCAGAATTTCAAAGGAAGGGCTCAGAGAGCCTAGGGTAAATATTCTGTCTTCATTCACTAGGTAGTTTTAGGTACTCAATCATAAGAGACCAAAATTTTGGTTGGTTTTTTGAGGGGAGGATGGTAATGATGATGAAATCACCTTTTGCTATTTATGTTTTTTCATCTAATTGCTTCTTTGGGTTAGGAAAGAATGGAGAAAAAGGACAAAAGATGAGGAATCTGGAGGCTAAACTGGTCTGGGCAGAGGCCAAGTAGAGGGGAGCAGGGCAAACTTTCAGCCCCTAACCTGAACCGATAAAGTTCAGGATGGGAAAAGGACATGGTCAGGAAGAGTGGGTAGCTCACAGAGGGACAGAAAGGTGTTCTGGGGACTACAAAAGCCACTTCCTAAGGCAGCCACAACAGGGTGGTGGATACAGCAGAGGTAGAGCAGCTGGTTACAGAACCTGAGCAGAAGATGGAGAAGGATCCAGGATGTTCACGCAGCTACTGAGCAAGGTGCCGGGCAAATGACAGGTTTCCCTGGAAGGGGCTCTCAAGCTTGTGCCCTTTCCCAGAGGCTTCTCTAGACCAGTGTGAATGGGACAGTCCAGATCCTATGGGGTGTGTGCTCCCTTTGAAGAAAATCCCAAGTAGGAGCCTCAGAGAGTAAAGCCCTGGCAGGTCAGAAGCCTACGTGTACCCCTTCAGGGAGAAGTGACATCTGGGACTTCCCTGGTGGCGGCCTCAGTGGTTAAGAATCTGCCTGTCAATGCAGGGGACACGGGTTCGATCCCTGGTCCGGGAAGATCCCACACACCACGGAGCAGCTAAGCCCGTGCACCACAACTACTGAGCCTGTGCTCTAGAGCCCACGAGCCATAACCACTGAAGCCTGTGCACCTAGAGCCTGTGCTCTGCAGCAAGAGAAGCCACCGCAATGAGAAGCCCGCGCACCACAACAAAAAGTAGCCCCCACTCGCCGCAACTAAAGCCCGCGTGCAGCAACGAAGACCCAACGCAGCCAAAAATTAATTAATTAATTAATTAATTAAAAAAAAAAAAGTGAGGGGCTTCCCTGGTGGTGCAGTGGTTGAGAGTCCGCCTGCCGATGCAGGGGACACGGGTTCGTGCCCCGGTCCGGGAAGATCCCACATGCCGCGGAGCGGCTGGGCCCGTGAGCCATGGCCGCTGAGCCTGCCTGTCCGGAGCCTGTGCTCCGCAACGGGAGAGGCCACAGCAGTCAGAGACCCGCATACCGCAAAAAAAAAAAAAAAGTGACATCTATCTAGCAGAGCAGGCTAAACTGAGCACCCAAACAGCAAATGGGGATGAAAAGGCGGAAACTGGTCAAGTCTTCCCCTACATCATCCCTGATAGCCTAACTACTGGATTTGGTTAATTTGGTCCCTTATCCTGCCAAAATCTGGCCCTCCCAAAGGAAAGACCAGCCTATCCAGGAACTTTCAAAGGGCAGTTCCATTGTGAACAGAAATTCCCTTCCCAAAACATAGCATCTTAAACTCTCCCACCCCCAAAATGCACCCACATGTCCCTCCAGCTCCAGCCTGGATTGTCTCTGAATGGCTCTCCAGACACATTCTCCTGGTTCTCACTTTCCCACTCCGAATTCTTTTTCACCACTTGCTGCCTGCTTCCTCTCTCCCTCTCAGTTTTCACTTTCCAAATTGCTTCTTTGGATCTCAGCTTCGAGGTGCCAAAGAAGAGGAGTCCCTGGGCAGACTGATCCTTGGCTCAGACAGCTTAGTGAGAGAATTCCAAAGGACTTTCCTCCCCGTCCTGAGCCTCTGGGCAAGGAGGATGGGATCATGGTTCCAGGGTCTCAGTACCCCTGTGCCATTTGAGCTGCTTGCGCTCATCGTCTCTATTAATAACCACCCTCCCTCCCCCACTGCCAGTGCTGCCCCCACGCCTGCCCAGCTCGGGTTCTCTAGTCACAGCAGCACAGTCCTCCAAAGCTGCTGGACCCCAGGGAGAGCTGACCACCGCTTGAGCAGCCGGTAAGTCTCCAGCTTTATAGTCAGAGGGGCTGGAGCCCACTCTGCTGACTGCTGTGTCTGTGGCTGTAATAGTGACCCTTGATCCTGGGGGGAGCTGCCTCCCTCCTCCATCTGTACTCAGTTCCCAGTTGTCCAGTTCAGGGGAGCCACAGAGAGTTGGAAGGAGAAGGGCCCAAGAGGGTGGGGGGATTGGAGATGTTGGGGGAGGCACTGGAGGAATGAGAAGGGGGTCTGAGAGGCTGGATGGAAAACAAGAACCTAGTTGGGGCTGAGAGAGGTATGTGGAGAATCTATTTAGCAGTTCCTGGACTCTGGCCTCAGCAGACCCCACTAAGCTAGTAGAATCACAGATGTGTTGTGAGACAGGACTCAGCAGAAGACATTTCGCTGAGTGCCAACTTCTGTTAAGGAGGGGCTGGAATCTGTATCTTTTCCCAGCTTGTCCCCCTCGACTGCCAGATCCTATGATTATGTTCCTGTCATCCCTGAATTCCCCACTGCTATGATATTGCTGAATTGACATGCATCAATATTGACCTCCCTCTCCACTCCAGGTCTGGGGGGTGGGGAGTGACTGAAACGGAGTGGGAGCACTGCTGTCACCTCCCAGGCCATGATCCAGCTGGCCCGGTGGAGGGGCAATAACCTCTCCATCCTATGGAGAATGTTTCTGGCTGGATCTCCTCAATCCTGGCAGAACATTTTTTCTGCTCCACCCCCCACCCCCCACCCCACTCTGGGGCTTGGGGAAGACTGAGAGGCCAGAGTTTGCAATGATAATCCCAGTCTGGGAGCCCCGTACAAATAAAAACTTCAAGTCATGCCAAACCAATGAAACCTGGGTGCGTTACCTGACCTGTAAGTAATGTGTTTGTTTTACCCCCAGGCCCCCCTAACACATATTGTGTTCCTAAGCCCTGCACCAGCTCTATGTAAAACGGCTGAAAAGAGGTTGGTAGAAGGTAGGGGCAAGGGGTGCATCTATAATTTTTGCCCTGCTTCCCAAGAAGAGAAGCCCTAAAGCAATGTTTTTTCACCTTTTAGAGAAATATATACTTCTTTTAAAAAATCTAATGAAATTTTGCTCCCTGAAGTCCTTACGCAGTGCCTTACTGTAGACACTCACCGCAGTCCCTGTCCATCCTTCACCTCCTCCTTCCCACCCTATCCAGGCTCCATCCATCTCCACAATGCCACTCTCAGGGACCCCCGCCCCCAACAAGAAGCGGAAATCCAGCAAGCTGATCATGGAACTCACTGGAGGTATGGCATGTTTGCACCTACCTAGTGTGGGACTTCTTATTGAGAGTATCTCTGGCCCATGAGTCCCAGAAGTATCATAAGGTTATTATGTGTCTTAAGGCGAAGAGATAAGGAGAGACAAGAGGAATTTGGGGTGGGGGTGAGGTTTGCAGGGGTGGGGGGAAGGGGGGGAAGGAAGAAAGAATTCAACACTGACTACTCACCCTTCCACCCTTTTCACCTTGTAATCTGAGACAATAATACCCATGCCATGTTACGCAGCACAGGTCCAAGACAACAGGACCCACAGGTCAGTGAGGTATGTTTGAGAAGAAAATATGTATGATGGAGACTGGCACAGAGTAAGGTCTCAATAAATGGTTAATTTCCTTACTTCTTTCCCCAGAGCTAAGGAGCCTCGTATAGGCACTTAAAATGGAAAATTGCTCAGGCATTTTTCCTGGGGGTGGTAGGAGTACAGCATGTGAAGAGCTCTCCCAATCAATACCTAGAAGCTGTTTGCAGCCAGTTTACTGAGGGGAAGAGAAGGCAAAGGAGTTAAGATAGGAGTATATATTTAGAGGTGGCCTTTGGGCTTTCCCCCGTGCTATAGTTTCCCCAATGACCTCCATCTATGATGTTTCTTTACTCTTTTGCCCTGTACCCCATACCTTTTACCCCATTCAGCGTCTTCACCCCATTCTAGTATCCCCACTGTCTCACTCTGCACCCCATTTCCCATGCATTCTCTCCAACTCCAAACCCAGGAAATCAAAAGCCCTCATAAACTAGACAGAATTTGATCAGACATCACAGACAGCATCTGCTTCCCTCAGTGATCTCTGCTGGGACACACATACTTAATTAGTTGTGGATGGGGGCTTCATTTGGAGCTAGAAAACCCTACTTTCCTCTTTCC